CCAGCCACTTACAGGTCTTTTCTATGAAGGTGGCTGCAAGCCTTTCCGCTCACGCTCATCACTCTCCCTTCCCTGTGTAAAAACTAACACCTGAAATAGTGTCTGCATGGGGCTGCCATTTGAGATCTCTGGGCACTTGCATATCATTTTTTTAAAATGTGATCAGTAATGTATGTTTATTAACAAATTAAATAACGAGATCTCGCCACCAGTTTCACTGCTATAATTTTAAAGTAGTGATGAGCACAAATAGTATTTTGAGATCTCTGCAACAACTGTAACGTGGTATGAAAATGTCTGTGATTTCTGATGGTGACAAAGTCACAGGTACTGTGGAACTGCTAATTCTACTGTGGTTTGTTGCTTACATTCAGAACTAGAGGAAACACTAAATTTCTGTAAACGTTAATGAATGTAAAAATATAACTTTCCCATCCAAGATCACAGAACCCCTGAGTTCTCTCTGTAGACTCTGAGATAGGTTCCAGGCAAAGAACTCTTCTCACAATTAGTTGGACAAGAGGACAGAGTATGTGGAAAGGAACGACAAAGATTGCAGGCTTGTGTCTGGGTATTTTATTATAGACACACAATAATTGTACATATTCCTGGGGTACACAGTGATGTTTTGATTTATATAATGCATAGTAATCAGGTCAGGGCAATTAGCATATCCATCATCTCCAGCATTCTTTCTTTGTGTTGGGAATATTAGTATCTTCTTTCTGGCTATTTGAAGACATATGTATATATATTTGTTAACTACAGTCATGGACAGTCATCCTATTGTGGTATAGAACACTAGAACTTATTGCTCCTGGCTAGCTGTAATTTTCTGCACGGATTTTTCCCTCTGCCTCCTATACTACCCTTCCCCCTGTTCCCTCCCTCTGACTCATCCCCAGGGTTGAGAGGTCACCTTCTCCTGGATGCCTCTCCCTCTTTTCTACTTTTTGTGGTTTTATTAGTGGCATCCATTGAGGCATTTGGTCAAGATCTGGCCACATATCTCCTCCCTGCCCTTCCCCACACACACCGTGCCCTGCTATTGGCCATGAACTGTGTTTTGTTCGTCTTTAGCTCCAGAAGCCCAACACAGCATTTTTACTGAACACGTAGGCTATAGTAGGTGCTCAGTATGTTTGCTCAAAGGAAAGGTGAGTACATTAATGAGATAAATGAATGAATAAATGTTAGCATGACTAGCTATGGACCTGTCAAAACCTGAGCCAGCAATATTAAAGAAATCAGACCCATTCGTTGCTAGCAAACAGATTCTGAGTTCATAGGGACATTACCGTTTGACCCCTCAGTGTAAGGGACGCCCCAGGAGGAAGTGTGGCTGAGTATTTAGGTGTAGCACACTGGGTTTGGATTTTAATCCCAGCTCCATCCCACTCTTTTCTACTAGCTACCTGCCAACCCCAGATCAACAGCATCAGTACCACCCAGGAACTTGTCAGAAATACAAATTCTTGGGCTCCACCTCAGACTGGCAGAATCAGAAACTCTGGGGGCAGGGCCCAGAAGTCTGTCCTCACAAGCCTTCCAGATGAACTGATGCTTAGAGAACCATCGATCTAGGATTGCAAGTCCCAGTTTCCTCATCTATTAAATAATAATAGGGTTATTGTGAGGGTCACATCAGACAAATGTAGCATTATTCTCCCTTGAGAATAGCCAGCAGTATTTCTGCCTGGAATGCAGAAATGCTAATAAGCCTGATTAAACAGTTGGTGCCACCTCCTGCCCCTCTCCACCTCCACCACACTCTCCACCACACCTGCCATTCCCCATGGGACCCAGGGTGGCATGGAGTCGGAACCTATACAGGTGTCCACCTTCTCCACTGTAAAATGAGGCCGACCTAGGAAACCAGAACTAGGTCCCCAGATCTGTGGTTCTGCGACTATCGTTTGCATCTGTAGCTTTGGCAGAGAAAATAATTGGGTGGTGGAGGCACCTCTCCGCATTCCTCTCCTCTGTCCCTACCCGTTTCCCTCTTCCAGGATTTAGCAAATGCTACAGCGTTTCTACAGCGCCACCTTCTGCCCACATTGAATCACACAGGCAATTACTCTTCCTGCTTCCGTCCTCAAATGTAAGAACATTTGAGAGAAGAATTTTGTGTAGATCAGAGGTTCTTAGTTTAGGGAATTAGGCCCTTGAAATTGTGTGCAAACCTCTGAAGGTATGCATGAATGTGCCTGTGCATTTTTCTGGGAGGAGTTTCTACAGTTTCATCTGATTTTCCAGATGTTTGTGACCCAGAAAAGGCTAACTGATTTGCAGAAGTTGAACAAGCATCAGAATATCGGGGGTGCAGGGGGCTTGTTAACGGGCAGATTGCTGGGCCCCACCCTAGAGCTCTGATGCAGCATGTCTGGCGTAGGAGGCCCAAGAATGTACATTTCTATCAAATTCCTAGGTGATGCTGCTGGTATGGGGACCACACGGAGAACCTCTGTTCTGGAGAATTTTCTGACTCCTGTATTCTGTGATTCAAATTGCTCCCTGTTTGAGAATTGGAGTAAGCACTCACCTTAACCACCAGACTCGACCCCCAATGTCTGTGGCTGCTTTCAAAAGAGTCTGCATCAGCTCTGAAGACAATTTCCAAAGAGGAGCTCCCGCACTGCCCTGGCCATTGTCAGCAGGAGGGACCTTAGAGGCAGCATTCCTGTGCACAAATCCCGACAGGCTTGCTAAGAACTTCCAGTCCTCTGTGTGTACGCAGCAGCTCCCCGGTGCCTGGCCACTTGCTGGTTGAGAGCTCAGGTGAATCTCCAGCACAGGGTTCCATTGCACTGCAGCATGCCCTCTTCCTGCAGCCCTCTTAGTAACCCACAGTGAGAGTCGATGGGATCAGGCCTGCTCAGTATGCGGTTGGGAAATAGGGCCCCTTAAGATACAAGCTCCTGGACTCGCTATCCCCCAGTGGAATTCTCCCTGGCACCCACTGCCCTAACTGGTCATGAGATGCCACCACCACCAACAACAACGACGAACAGCCAGCACACACTTAGAGCCTGGGGCTCTTCCTAAAGTTTCCAGACACTACACCCTTCATGCCTGGGTGTGAAAACCTGATGGCCCTTCCCCAGATCTGACCATAATTTTTGCTATTTAAAGTTCATTTTCTCTGATTTTATCCTTCAGGGACACAGAACACACCCCTCTCCTCTCCACCCTCCCTCCCTCCCTCACCCACATAAGCCCACATGAAAATCATCACTATTTATTTATTTATCTATTTATTGAGACGGAGTCTTGCTCTGTCGCCAGGCTGGAGTGCTGTGGCACGACCTCGGCTCACTGCAACCTTCGCCTCCCGGGTTCAAGCGATTTTCCTGCCTCAGCCTCCCGAGTAGCTGGGATTACAGAAAATGATCACTTTTAATCACTCCTCCTGATTTCTTTGGGGCACACTCTGGCCTGTGCTCTGTACAGCAACTTTTCCCCTGAGGTTAAAACAGCCCTCCGTCACCTCCAGGGAGGTAATAAACAATGAGGCAAGGCCCGTTTGGTATCGAAACACAGGTTATCAGAGTGGGAGACGAAAACGAGCCGGGACGTGTGTTCCACGCGTTTCCCAGGCACTCGCTGTCCGTGCTCCTGGGCTCCCTCTTGTGGTTGAGAACCCAAGACGCCGGGGTTTTAGCACCTCCTCCCACCTCGGAGCCTTCCTCCTGGGCCGGCCTCCTGCTAAGGCCCCACTCCGCAAGGCTGAGGGGTGGTTTGGGGAACCACAGGTCACCTTCCTGGCATCCTCTTCACAGGACAAGGAGGGACCTAAGCTAGAGCTTCCTTCCGTGTGACTGTCAGAGCTGCAAACCTTCTAGTCTCAAGTTCGACCACCAGGGGTTCCTGGCGTAGTGGCCCCTACCCTGGTCACACCTTGCTGGGGAACTGGGCCCTTCGCTCCTCCCCCCCAAGCCCTTAAGGTCACTAGTTTGTGGCCAGGAGGTGATAAAACGATAGTAATGATGATGATCATCACCAGCACTGTGCTGATAAGGCAAGTCCTCTATCTCTGATCTTTTTCATAACTACTTTGGCTATTCTCAGACATTTATGTGAACTTTAAAATCATTTTATTAAATTTTAAAATAAATGATAATCCATTAGGGTTGGATTACATTTATATACTTTTTAAAAGGATTCATGTTTTTATGCTAGTAAGTCATTCTGTCTTGGAAGACAATAATGTTCTTCATTGTTTAGGACTTGTTTAATGTTATTCCATAATATTTTTTTCTTGTATCTTTCTTGTTTATTTATAGCTATTTTATGAGTTTTGGCCCTATTGCGGTTGGGATAGTCTTCTCCATTGCTTCTTCTAACTGGTTACTACTAAAATAGAAAAAAAAAGGGGGGGGATGATTTTTATATATTTGTCTTATAAACAGCCAAATTATCTTACTCATTCTAAAACTTTTTTCTAAACCAGAGCCTCTTGAGTTTTTCTAAAGTATAGTATAATCTGCAAATAAAGGGAATTATGTCTCTTTTTCCATCAGCATACTTTTACTTTACTTTTTATTTTGAGACAATTTCAATTTTATAAAAATTTTCAAAAATAAAAATAGTAGTAGGAACATCCATGTCACCAACTGTTAACATATTATCTCACTTGCTCTATCATTTGCTCTCCATGTGTGGCTGTGTGTGCATCATTTTTTCCTGACACTTTTTTTTTTTTTT